TAGGCTCTCTCTTGCCCTTTTGAAGTGAAGCCTTCTCCTTCCAAAAAGTTTCGGTCTGGCTCGTCTTTCTCTCGGCGAGCAGGCCCCAGCGGCAACTCCTGCATTACTTACCAGCCATCGGTCTCTGGGGAGCACAAGGCACAAGTGACAACAAAGGCGGAAGTGGAGCCAGGTCAGCGCTAGGGCTGGGGTCCCCATGTGATTGGGTGCTCCCTCCCTTTCTTCTGAGCCTCTCTACTCCCATTTCTGTCCAGGAAAAGCCTCATTGCTATGTACTTTCCTCTGTATTTCCCCTATCATATTTCACTTCTTTTTTATTGATTTTCTTCCTTTCTTTTTTTCTAGACGTCCACCTCGGTCGTCCCGATGTTTTACCTCAGACTCCACCTTTGGAGGAAGTCATTGAGGGCTCGGCTCTTCCTGACCCCAGTTTCTCACCTGTAGTTGGAGAGACTTTGCAAATGCTAACTACAAGGTTGGTTCTTTGGCCCCATTTTCCATATAATCTTCTCTTTCTCTTCCCCCAGGTCCTGGGGAACCTCCCTGGTTCACTTTTTCAAAAGATCATTGTTTGTCTTTTGCTCCTTTCACTAGATTTGTGTAGCTTCACCTTCCTAAAACTCACCTATAGCTATTTGGAAAAGTTATCAATATCTCTATAGCTTTATGGGGTAATAAGCCTTTCTGTGCATGCTTTTATGGTATCCAGTCAAATGGTCAGCTAACCTTTCATCGTCTGAGTTAAATGAGATTTTTTAGTTTAGGATTTAAGGCTAGAAAAATTTTTGAGTGGTGATACAGTGAAAAGTCAATCTTTCAAAAGGACCCAGAGTAAAGATCATGACTTAATTGTGTTACCTAGTATATTAATTAATTAACTATTGCATTGTAATAAATTACCCCAAAATGTGGTGGCCTAAAATAAATATTTATCAAAGTTTCTGTGGGTCAGTAATCCAGCTTATATGGGTTATCTGGCTCTCAGTTTCTCATGAGATGGCAGTCAAATCTGGGCAAGGGTCTTATCTGAAGGTTCAGATGGGAAGATCAGCTTCTAAACTTATTTATCTGGTTACTGGCAGGATTCAGTTTCTGTGGATTGCTAACCAGGAGGCTTTATTTCTTACCTGGCTGTTAACTGGGGGCCCTCTTCAGTTCTTTGCTATGTTGGCCTCTTCATAGTACAGTTCATTATGTGGCAGCTGGGTCCCTCATAGTGAGTAGGAGACCATCTGCTTAAAACAGAAGCCATATTCTTTTTGTAACCCAGTCTCAGAATTGACACATCACATCACCTGTGCTACATTTTGTTCAATAAATGCAGCCCACGCTCACTAGGACAGAATTACACAAGAGTATTGAAACCAGGAATTAGGGATCTTTGGGAGCCATCTTAGAAATTGCCTGTCACAGTCTGCCCCTCTGGTCCGCAGTGACTGACATCCCTTGATACGCAAAGTACAGTCACTTCTTCTAAGGTCTCCAGAAGGCTCATTCCATTACGTCATCACCTCTGAGTCCACAATTTTGTTACCAAATCAGTCCCAGGTATAAGTGAACTTCTGGAGTATGTAGTTCCTTACGCACGGCTGGAGCACATCCCCTGTCAACCTGTGGATCTGTGAAACTAGAGACAAATTACCTTCTCACACACCTAGTGTCCATGGGTGGGACAGGCATTAGATCACCACTGCATACAGTTCTTTCCAAAAGGGGAGAATGGTAGACACAGAGTCACTGATTGATTAGCTATTCTAAAATCTAGGAAGGGTTGACTTTTTAAATCAGGTCATAAAATGTGGGAATAATTCTCCATGGTTCTTGGCTCAACCCTCTGAACTTTTGACTTTGTTTTCTGAATCTTCCTTTTTCATGAAAGCTAGAATGTGTTTAAAGCTGAGGAGTTTTTCTAGCCTGCTTCTTTCTAATAGAAATTTGGAGGTCTGGAGGTCTCTTCATTTTGTACTATTTCTGTGTGAGCTAGCAGTGTTTCTACTGATAAAATTTCCTTAAAGAGTTTATGAACTTACTATGAAGTATATTGAGATTCACTCCATTAAATACTCAAAGGTTTCTTCTTGATAAGGTTTAAACTCTAGAGACCCCCTTTTTTACCCCCCCGCTGGGGGATATGAGACATACCCTTGATCTTTTGAACAGCCTTGTATGACTGAATAGTGCTCTAATGTGCCCACCGTTTATTTTTCTGAGGTTTTAATACAGTGTTTAACAGTCATGCCCTTAGCTTCATTTTCTGGGCAATTTCCTGGATTTGAATGATCCTTGCTTAAGCGCCATTTCTTAGTTTTAGCATCATTTACTTTCCAGAAGTTCAGAGTTTCCAAAAATTTATCCAGTCCTCATTTCTTTTTAACGGCCCTTCCCTTAATTTACTTCTCTTCTCTCATGTTTTTCTATAAGCATCAAGGAGAAACCAGCTGGTACCTTTGCATGGAAATCTCCTTAGCTAGGTGACCCACTTCAGTGGGCACATAATCTACTTTTCAGAGGTGGGTGGTTTAAGGTTTTGGCCACAGGGCACATGCATTCACCAGAGACAGAAAGTGAGAAATAACCCCCAGGTGGATGGTCACAATGCAGTCTCCTCTCCTCTTGGGATTTTTGGGCACACATGCACACATGTCCGGTTTTAGTTTCAAGCCACCAGGTCCTGGACACCAACCACGGTCAGTTACTTTTCACATAACTGTAGATGACACCGTTGCTAAACTTTGTGCTACTACATGACAGGAATTACCTTTCCTTCCATTTTAAATCCAAAATTCTGTAAATAGCCTATTCAAAACACATTTTTAATTTTGCATTAGGTACGTATACTTGCTAGAGAGAGATGGGAAGGGGGGGAGAGAGATAAGAAAATTACTTCCCCCTCCAGAGGGATCACCACACCCCAGTACCTTCTTTTTCATTCTCCTCTCGGAGAGAAAAACACATGCCCAGCATGTTTTGCTCCAGATCCAGGACTTGAACCACTCCATCAGCCATGTGGGATTCATCCACCTTCACTGCCACTCCATTGGCTGGCCCTATTCAAGACACTTTAAAATTTTCACTAAACTCTTCTCAAATCCTCTCTCACATTTTACGTTTTTGTTACAATAGCACCTCACTTCCAGGTATAAAAATCTTTATTATTTATTGTGTGTAACAAATTACCCCAAAATTTAGCAGTTGGAAACAAGAATTTTCTCAGTTCTGTGGCTGAACCTGATGCCTTTGGCTCTGAGTCTCCTAGGAGATCACAGTCAGCTGTGAGCCTGAAAGCTCGCTGAAGGTGGGTCAGCTTCTGAGCTCACTTAGGTAATGGTTGACAAGATTCAGTTCCTTGGAGGTTACCGGCCCTGTGAACTCAGTTCTCTATCACACTGCCCCACCCACAGCGTATCTCAAAGTATAGGAGCCAGCTTCCCTCAGAGCAGGCAAGCTAAAGAGTTTGCATCCAAAAGGAAGCTACAGTCTTTTTGAAACCTAGTCTTAGAATTGCTGTTCATCAGTAGAGAATCACTCAATGCAGCCCATACTCAAGAGGAGATAATTACGCAAGGGCACAGATATCAGGAGACAGGGATAATTGGGAATAATCTTAGAAGCTGCTCACTACCCCCTAGAGATTGAAAGGAGAGGAAGGTACTAGGAAGTATTTTATAATACTCAAGAAATGAATGTTATTTAAAACAGTGTGCTTTACTGGCTATCTGTCTCTCTGGCGAGAGCACACACCCTATAGCAAAAAAAAAAAAAAAAAAAAAAAGTTGTGTTCAAA